ACTACTAATCAATTATATATATATATATATATATATATATATATATATTTGATGAGAAGTATTTTTAATAAATTTAATTGGCTACGAGGCTACAAAGATTTATAATCAATTAAAAGTATTAATTAAGAAAATAGAATAAAAATTATTAAATTAGATTCAAATGATGTTTTAAAATAAGCAATAATTTTTAAATCTCGTCACAATTCTTAACATCTTATGACCACGTGATTAGGGTTGTTAAAATGACTCTTTGTTCGTGAATGGCTCCTGTTCGTCTCGCTCCGGCTCGCTAAGCAAACAAGTAGAACACGAACACACCTTTTGAACTCAAAATATAAATGAGTCGAACACGAGCTGCGCCTGGGCTCGCTCGTGTTCGGCTCGTTTACACCCCTAATTGGCGTTGTCGCTTGTAGTCCTCTGTCGGGCTTCCACCCACCATGGTTCCTTATTCTTGGTCGAAATCCTTCAAATCGATCCGCTCCTACTGTGAAAAGCCCGTTGTCCCATTCTGCCTGTTGCCTCTCGTTCCAGTTGTCTGGACGTTATACCATTCCTTCCAAGTGTTGATGCTCGAGTTCGCTTCCCATTTCTTCATCAGATCTCGCAACCCCAGAGAGCGATAATGCTCTGATGTCGCACGAATTCTTCTGATTGTTGTCGTTGGCATCCATTTCAGATGTCGTTACTCGATTTTGCTGTAGTTAGCAATCTTCTTTATCATATCTTCTTAGGTTTTTAACCTCCCCTCCATTGCTGAGAAGTGCTCATCTGTTTCATATATGATTTGACTGACCTCTTCTGCTAGTTTTTCCTCCAAAATATCCACCTTTTTTGCTGTCGATACCCTTTAATGGTTTTGAAACTCCCTTATGTTGAGATCATGGGATTCTGAATTTCTAGACACCAGTTTGGCGTATGAAGAACTCTGGACACTGTGATCCCAAAATTCTTATTTATGGTTCGGTGGAACTATCGGAAATCGTGTGGAACTCCAGATATTGTAATCCAAATTCTTGGACATTGTAGATCCAGATCATGAGTTTCTTTCACAAGCGATGTGTAAGTTCTTTACGCTATGATCCTATTTGCCAGTTTTGATCAAGAGTGGCGTGAAACTCTTGTACGCCACGATCCTTCTACTTTATTGTGGTATGTGCCCCCACAATCCTGCCTATTCATGGTCCTGGACGCCATGATCCTGTCGTTCCTTCCCAGCTAGCTCCAATGACGATTGTATCACGATATTAGGTCACTCCACGACCCTTCTGTGCTTCCTCAAATCACGATCGTCGGCTCCTTACGATTGTATCACGATATTAGGTCACAACGCAACCCTTTTATGCTTCCTCAAATCATGGTCGTCGGCGCTTGTAAGGCGAGATCCCGTCGTCGCGCCCAGGTTGCTTTTATTGTGACTGTATCGACGAAAACCTCGATTGTATGTTGAAATCTCATTGTTCCTTTCTAGCTAGCTCTAATCACGACGCGAGGCTTCGGTCACTTGTCTTTATACGCCATGATTCTGACGCCCTTTTGCTCAATCCCATTGCTTCTAGCTATGGCTTGTCGCGTTCGGATTGCGCATTCCCGACAGTTGTTTTCCATATCGCTTGAATCACGAATTGACATGTGATCCGTCATTCCCTTGGTGAAAGGGCACTGTTTATTGTGTCCCATGGTTTCTGATCCCAATCTAGAACTCTGTATTGGCCGATCACGTTGATCATTGTTTGTTTCCCATAGATTGATTGCTTTGATACCAATTTGATAGGAACAAAATCAAATTTTGTCACATAAATTAGGGCAAACACATTTTATTTCACGAACACCAAATCAAAGCAATAAAACACAAATACATAAAGAATAAATGCCCGTAATTCGAGAGGTAGGCGATCACTCCCAATTCCTACAATTCAGGAGGTAGGAAATCTCTCCCAAACACTAACCCTAAGACTCCAAGTCAACCATTAGGATGCACGCCCTAAACCTGAATCTATTTGGATATGTTTATACTGAACAATAATAAATAATAAAATACTCAATTCCTCCTAGGCTAATAAAAGGATAAATTTCCCCCTTAGACTGGGCATTGACATAATAGCATCACACCAATGCTTTGTTTTCTTATGTAATTTCTGCCTTGTGTACGAAAAGTTGTAGGCCTTCGATAACAGAATTTATTCAACACTTCAGATCTCTTTTGCCTTCATTAACTTGTGTATGGGTCGGTCCTGTTTGTATTGCATGTGTGCTTTTGAATTGATGTTCATACTTAAATTTCAAGTTGGCAGAGCCAACCATGCTTGGCTCAACCTTCTTAGTTTTGAGAATTGGAGTAATGATGATAATGATCCTCAATCTTAATACATTTCCCTAATCCAAGCTCTGATCATGTGTCTGAGTTGCATAATTCATTCATTGTGCACCATTTAGGGGGCGTGCTTTAATGCCTATTTTATGGCAAAAGATTCATAATTTTATTCTGAAATGGTTATGAACTTTGGTGCTGTATGTTGTGATGCATCATTTTCCACTTTCTTGTACTTGTTGAAAGATTGATGTTTTTGTTTTTTTTTTGTCTCTTTTGTTTATTCTAAGAAAAATTTGCAGTTTTCTGTCATAGCTTTAATTGGTCAAATGCTTAAATCTTTTTGCTTACCTGTTATCATAGATCAGATGCAGTTAGAACCATTTTCAAAGAGGAGGGATGGAGAGCTTTCTATAAGGGCATTGGATCTGGACTTTTTCTTGTATGTTTGATATTGACCTGGTATTGGATTATTTGTTCTCGAGCTTTTTTGTTTGTAATTTGCTATGATGTGTAAAGTTAACATTTTGGCATGGCAAGCAGCCACTCAAGTTATGTTTTTGACATAATTCTGGATCCTTTTTGAATGACTGTGAAAGAATATTAGTTTGCTATTTCTTTTTTACACAACTAGAATTTTATGCAAACCAATCTGATCTGCTTAGCTTTTCGTCGTGGAAGATGCCAAGAAGATGATAATGTTATCATTGCATATGAAGTATTTGTGTATTTTATAATTATAGAGCTGAAAACCCAAATTATTTTGATATCCCATGTACATATCCATGATTACGTGCAAATGGACAAGAGCTCCTTGCACATCAAAATGACCTATGGTGAACGAGTTATTTGCACAAAGAAATTAAGACTCTGGCTTTCTTTATATAGTTTCTACATCAACAACAAGTTTTTATCCCACTAAGTGGGGTTGGCTACATGTACTCTTTTTCTCCATTGTCTTATTGAGTGTAATATTTTCAGTTAATTCTTTCAAAATTAAGATCATTTTTTTATACAATATGCCCAAGTATTTTTAGGCCTACCTCCGCCTTTCTTAAATAAGTCAAATCTAAAACATCTACTCTCCTAACCAGATCATCGGATGGTCAACATTTAATGTGACCAAACCATCTAACTCTTTCTAATCTTGTCCGCCACTGGAGCTACACCAACCCTTTCACGGATACATTCTTTTCACATTGTCAATAAGTGTCAAACCACTCATCCACCTAAGCATTCTCATCTCAACAACACTTAAATTAGTTTTATGCTTCCTTTTTAAAGGCCAACATTCTACGTCATAAAGGGTTGCAGGTCTCACCACTATCTTATATAATTTTTCCTTAAGTCCAAGCAATACTTATCTATGCCACAATAGGTTCGATGGATTCCTCCACTTCAACCAACCAAGTTGAGTTACTAATAACATCACCATCTATATCACTATCACTTTGAACAATAGATCCGAGATATCTAAAACGATCACACCTTTTAATGATTTATCACACCTTTTAATGATCACACCTTTTAATGATTTTATCACCCACAGTTACAACTATATCACTAGATCTACTACTAATAAATTTACATTCCATTTATTCAGTTTTAGATCTACTCAAATGAAAGCCTTTAGACTCCAATGCAAACCTTAATAATTCAAGTTTTTCCTGAATTCTTTCTCTAGTCTTATTAAAAAAAAAAGATATCTTCAACGAAAAACATCTATTTATAGTTTCTAGCTGAATTAAGGATATGTGATTTTGTGCATGGTTTTTTTTTTTGATTTTTTTTTTTTTGGGGAGTGAAGCAGAAGATTTGTGCACATATCTGACATAGATTAATGTGAAATCTGGCAACAAAACATAAATTACCAACAATATGGCAAAAGATCTATATCCCTATGTCAGTGCCATTACATTTAAAAACCTTTTACAATTTTAACTTTCTATTTTGTAATGCCGTGCTAGCATAGCTTTGTTCTTAGCCATGTTTTTGTGTTTTCATTTTATTTAATATATCATTATCTTTTTGCTAATTATTAGCGGCTAGAATACCTTTTATGATTCCACATTGATGTGAAAATTTTTGTATTTGTTCAAAGATAGTTTGTCATTCAATAACGACCTTTTCTATACATATTACCTAAGGTCTTGTAATTCAGTTGATTAATGATGCAAATTAGGGTTACTTTATACTTTTTTCCTCTCTATGTAGTGCCTTCCTAGAAGAAATTCGTTCATCTAATTTTCTTTTTACCAGGTTTTCTTTCCTCCCCATAGTTTTCCTCTTTTTCTATATTCTTCGCTTCACAAGAAAAATAAAAAATATAGAAAAATGATTGTTATGTGTTTTTCACTTGATTAATGTATAATGCACTCATCTTTGCTTATTTTTTAATTTTATTATTAGTGGTTAAAATGCCATTTGCCATTTAGTACTAGTTTGACGTTTTTATATACCATGTAGTCACTTTTATCATTTTAAACAAATTATATTTGATTTTGTCTTACTCTTTTCCTGTTGCCCCCTTTTTTTATGGCACATTCATTTCTTTTTAATCTCTATTTTCTATGTCTCCTTGCTTCTTTCCTGTACCACATTTTTCTCTTTTCTGCAATTAAAGTACAAGAAAAAAATAACACCACAATCAACATTTCTACTGTTTTCGTTGTCATCATCATGGCATCACATCTATATGCTGTGATTCTTAGTTTTCCTGCAAATTGGATTTAATGCATTGAGATGCATGCTGTAATTCTGTTTTATTTGTGCATTCAATTGATTTTTATTTAAAACTAAATCTTGCTCTAGTAAACCAAACTTTTAAAGTATTAATGCATTTCTGCATTTTTTAATTGCAAAAAAAAAAAAAAAAAAAAACCCGTTTATTGATGATTTAAGGTTAGGCTTCTTAATGCAATTAGAATGTTATGATGTATGTGAATCACAAAAGGGAACTTATAATGATCACAAGCCCTACTAAATAAGCTAGAAACTTGTTTTCATTACATGCAAACAATGACTGTGTTAGAATCCAAAAAAGAGTAAATTATGCAGATGAAATTGGATGAAAGGAGTTATCAATGTGAGGAATTTAGGTATCGCATTAGTCAAAGGAGATGATTTTCCGATAATTAGGTAATCATACTTTTAACATATTTAAAGAAAGCACACATCTTAAGCAAGATTGAAAATTGAAATAAGAATTATTCACTCCACCAAAAATAATCAAATTGCAGTTCTTACAATATTTATTTAGAGAATTCTCAATCCTTAGGTTAGTGGATATGGTTATCATAAATTCAGTCGACTTAATATCCAAATAGCCTTAAATTCATTACCCAACCTTCTCTAGAAATAAAAAAAGGGGAGGGTGGGGGTGGGGAGGGGGATTACATAAGCAGCACTCTAAACTAGCACTCTAAACTACTAATATTACATATCTCACACCCAAAATTCAATATTTACCCCCGTTAATTGTGTTAGAAGATCTTATCAGACACCAACCTCCGTCTTGTCGTCGATTTGATTGAACTTGTTAGAAGAGAAGCCAGCGATGGGATCACGGCATTGAAGCTGTTCGAAATAGTTGAGAAGGCAGCGATGGGATTGTGGCATACAATGACCTCCAAAACTCCAATTTTTCTCCTCTTTCAGCCCCACTCCTATCTGAGACCGATGATGAACTTAAACCTCATTTTCTCCCACTTTCTCCAACCCACCTTCGCGAGCTTTAACTTCTCTAATCTGATGTAGGTGCAGATCGAGCTCGCTGGAGCCAGCAGAAGGATGGTGCGACGAGTTCCCAAGTGGACGGGTAAACCGAGTTTGCTGGGAGTGACGCAGGGGACAGGGGATGAACCTACGCTACCTGTTTAGCATCCCAACTGGTTCAACAGCCCACCCGGTTCAGTTCAGCGGGAATAAATACCCTCGGTCCAATAGGAGGCTTGACCGACCCCCTCCTCCCCCTTTTCATTGGGCGAGAATTTTCCCCCCTCCTTTTCTGTTTTTCCACCTATATGTCTATTATAAATATGTGTGTTGTCGTCCTAGGGTTTAATTTTTGGTTGATTTTGATTCCAGGTTTCTGTCTCTAGGGGTGTTTCCCTTGTTAGAGTTGTATCCAACGGCGAGAAGGTGCTCCGGCTATAACTCATTCTAAGGTAGTGATCGTATCTTCTCTTGTTCCTGTTTTGCCACCTGCTGCCCCCGGTCTTTGCCGTCTCGGGCCCTAATGATCCCTGCCACAGTCCCTATCCCGTTACACCTGCTGCAGCCCCTCTTCTGCAACACAGTCGCGGCCGCCATCCCCACAACTTTTGCTCCAGCCGTCTGTACTGGGTGTTTTCCAGGGCCTCACTAGTTGTCTATCGCTGGCCAACAACTTTTCCCTGCTTTGTAAGTCCCTCCCCCTTACTGCCAGTGGCATCCAGCCGCCTCCCTAGTTGCTGATTCTGTCCAGCAACTCCTCCTTGGACCGTCACTCCCTCCCACCGACTTCAAGGGCTGTTCCAACAGCTTTTTCCCCTTTCCCAGCCACATGTTCTACTGTAACCTCCTCCACTCACAAAGCTGCTGCCAACTCCTCTAACCTATTAGACAGCCACCACAACTCCTTTCACGTACTTTCTAGCGACTTCCAGAACTCACGTCCAACCCTCCTACCCTCACAACCACCTCCAATCCAACCACCACCTGCTGTCCAACTGCCAAAAACCTCTCTCGTTCTTGCACTAGGGTGCTTTCTTGTTTGTGTTAATTTTCTTGTCACAAGTCCATGGTTATAATCCTTTTGAATTTCAACAATAATATTTACATCTCTACTACGATTTGAGTTAACTCCGGTATCTAGGAGTCCCCAAGCCGCTAGTGCAGAGCTTGCCGAAGCTCGTAGGCAAATGGTGCGGCAAGCTGCGAGTGGGTGAGGGAGATGATGGGGTGGACGGGTAGGGAGATGATGGCGTTAAGTAACGGTCGGTGTTAATTTTATTTTATTTGAATATTTTAGGTGCTAAGGATGTAGATATTGAAGTTTGGGTGTGATATATATAAGATTATTAGTTTTGAGTGCTACTTAAATCCCCCAAAAAATATTACAATTATAAATAAATAATTCTTGTGAAGTTCCTGGAAGAGGAATTAGGGAATTCCCATGAACCCTCTCCTGTAAGGCAGCAATAATATCCTCATGTAACGACAAAATAGTAGTGAAATTAATTGCAAGTAGCGACAGAGTAACGGTGAGCCTATGAACAACATAAAAGGTGAAACAATGCAAGTGGAATCCCGATCTTATCTACTCCACTTGAAGAAAATTCACTCGTACGAAACAATTTTCACATTCACTATAACTCTGTGAACTTGTTGATCTCAAAGGGTCAATCTAATTTGCTATCATAGTCATACCAAATCATATCGACAAACATAATTACTAAAAAA